GGGTATCCGGAAACCTCGCACAACTGCACTACATCCGCAGTCCGACGGCATCGTAGAATTCTCGAAGTTCAATCGAAGTTTGGAAGAATATTTGAGGAAAGTTGTGGACAAGTATCAAAAAGATTGGGATACCCATATATCCTTGTTCCTGATGGCTTATCGGTCTGCTGTACATGAAACAACGGAGCAGCTTCCAGCAAGGGTAATTTTTGGTAATAATCTTCGATTACCGATTGAATTGAAATTTGGAATTAGCTCCAACGGAGGAAGCAAGGCTAAGGAAGTTAGCAGCATCCTAGAAAACGAGATGAGGGATATACATGCTATGGTGAGACAGCGCACCAAAATTATGAGCGATAAAATAAAAGCAAAATACGACAAATTAACTCTGAGAGTGTTATTAAAGGTTTTTTATTATATAACCCACACCGAAAAAAATACACAACAATATAATTGGGAAGGACTGTACCAGGTAATAAAACGGAAGGAACCAAGGAATAAAATGAGGGTAGTTCATCTGATACGGCTTGCAGCGTTTGGTACCGGTTAGGTAGAAATAAATTTAAGTGTATAGTATTAAATTGGGACTTCAATTTAACAATCTAGTGATCCAACTCAAGAGTGAGTTACAAGGTTGACGATTTATCGAGATATTCGTTACAAAATTGACGCCGAATTTTGCGCATCGTCGCGGAGTTGACAAAATTTGTTTGAATCGCCAATTTTGCGACAATATCGGCTATGTTTTCACGTTTGTCCTTTTTGCAGTGCTTTGCTATTGAAAATTGACTTATGCTCTTTTGAAATACTACGATTACCGATTGGGCTGCATTTTCATAGTGTCGTATTTATATAAAATGGGCTAAATCGAAAAACTATGAAATAATGATAATAAGTACTGTTTAAATAATATTATATAAGCCACCCCTAGATATACACACCACTCTACTCGGGTAAAATTTACACACCATAATGAAACACACCACACTGCACTCAACATTGAGAACACTACACATGATGACACCACCACACTCAATCCCTGAGTACAACATGCACAAAGACGCCTAACAAAAAGGACGGGAACATCGCTAAATCATCATTCGCTATATACAATTGGACAGCGCAATCATTTCGATCGACATCAGTCCACGCATCTTAAACATTCGTTTTGTTAACGGGCCTGAGAGCCAGATTAAATTCTCATTCAGTCAACTGTTTTTGGATCTACACATTTATTTTTGGACAACACCGATCCGATAATATATAAACTTAAATTTTTTATTTATATTTATAATAATATTCTGATAGTAATCTAAATTGCGCATTTTAATTACTTATAATTATACAAGTGATAGTGCTGCTGTGGGATGTGCTCCCTAATGTATTAAATACAAATATGTTCAAGTACATATAAAAGTACTATATGGAGTGTGCTTAGAACATATAGAATTAGGTAAAGACTTCATATGAGTGGTAATGTTGCCAATTCTCAAGGCAATTTCGAGAATATTTGAAACAAGCAAACGACGATAGCTGTTTGAGTTCACAGATTAGACTACAACTCCTTATTACAAATTAACTATTTGGACAGAGTTCAAACTCTATCACATTTTAATTAAATATAAATTAATTTAATTTTCATTTTTCCATCATTAAATACATGTTCTTCAATTTCTATTATTTCTTTTTGTTATTCTAATTTTCCTTAATGCCCATGCCAAAGAACATCTGCGCATACATAAATTTGCCGTTCCCTTATAGGGTGGTGAAAATTTGCATGGTTCCTTCTTAGAGTGGTATAGTTTTATGAGTTCGCTTATAAAGAGAGGAAGGTTCCGTTTCTTTTTGCCGTGGTGTAAAATCGAACTTGCGCATTTTCGATGTTCCCTTTTAATAATTTACATTTTAGTACAGCTAACAATTGCGCCTTCTCTATTCATTAACATTCTCTGGCAATGGGTTACCTTTTTTCCACTCGCTGAACAAAAGTAATAATTTTTTTAACTTATACACGAGTGCACAATAACAAGTAATTAATACGTTTACTAACAGATACCCCTCTTGCAGAGTACACGAGTGAAAAATAACAAGTATTTAACACGTTTGCTAACAGATACCCGTCTTGCAGAGACGTGTGGCAGCCGCAGAAGATTACAATAAACGTGCGTTTATACTAAAGCTTTCAGTTACTATGATATACTATGTAATTATGGCTGTGCGCCAAACGGGAACCAGTTTTGACAACCTATAACAAATAAGGAATTTAAAAAACCACCGCATACATATAAATATAACTTTCACTTGTTATATAACATGTTAGTTATAAAATGTGCTATTAGTTCGAAATTTTTTATTTTTTTATGTTATTATTTATTCCATTCAAAACCGAAATTATACTTTTAATAGAGAAATATCTTGTCTTCTTTAGCATTTTTGTTATTTGATAAAGAAGTAAGCAAATGTAATATTTTGGTAAAGATCTACTTGTAAGGACTCCCGGATGGTGCAGCAAGTGCACAGTTCTATTTAGAGTGTTGCCGTGTAAAGAGCAATTGAGCTATAAGCAATAAGCTGTAAACTCGAATAATGAGTTATAAGTGTAAGTTGTTGGAATTAGAAATAAAAATAAGTGTAAAGCCATTAAATTAGGACTTTTATTTAACAATCCAGTGATCGAACTAAAGTGTGAGTTACAAGGTAGACGATTTATCGAGAAATCCGTTACAATCGGTGTCATAAGTGGGATTGTCAAATAAATTCCCAAAGAGAGAGCTTGAAAATGGTTAAGTTGAATAATCTGAAGAGTTCACAACTGAAAAAGGAGCTGGAGCAACGTGATTTGGTAACAAATGGAGTAAAGGCCGACTTACAGTCATGGTTACAAGAGGACATGGAAGCAGAAAATGCTAATGTTGAGGTACACGTCTTTCAATTCTAATTACAGGAGAAGACAACAAAGATACAAGAAAAGGAATATACTCAATGTTCAACAGAGGTTTTTTTTGCTGCGTTGGGAGCGTTTAGAGAACGTTTGTCAGCAGCGTTGGAAACAGGGTTTAGAGCAGCGTGGAAGAAGCAGGAGGCACGTATAGCACAACGAAGTCATCACAAAGGATGGCACAACTATCCCAATTGTACTCACAGTCGAAAGAGGTGGGTGTGCGTATCTTAGCACAGGTGTCCTCACAGTTGGAAGAGCAGGAAGCGTGTGAACCAGTTAAGGGCCCTCACAGTCAGAAGAGCAACTTGTATACAAGCACAAGTGTCCTCAAAGTTTGAAGAGCAGGAAGCTTGTATACAAGTACACAATCGAAAGAACTGGACGTGCGTACGTCAGCGCAGGTGTCCTCACAGTTGGAAGATCATGAAGCGTTTGAACCAGTAAAAGGGTTCTTGCAGTCAGAAAAGCAAGAAGTTTGTATACCAGCACAAGTGTCCTCACAGTCGGAAGAGCAGGAAGCGTGTATCCCAGTACAAGGGTCCTCACAGTCAGGAGAGCACGTAATGTGTATACCAGCACAGGTGGAGGAGGTTAAAATTAAAGCTGAAACGGATGACTCTTTGCCAGAAGATCCAGAATTGCAAGGATCAAGGTGTAATGCATGAAGTGGAGTTGAACCAATGTGCAACGAGAAGAGAAATAACTATAGGAAGGCAAATCGCAAAAACATATTGGACAGAGCGGAGGGTTTAAAGTTATGTGACAGTTTGCATCGAGTATGGAAAAGCGAAAATAGGCAAAGCTCCCGAGTAGTTATGGTTGTTCCGAAGGTTAGAATTTCTTAAGTTCTTAACGTGCAGTACAAAGGACTGGTTGTCGTCAATCAGCTATGGAGAGGATTGCGAAATATACCGAGAGCATTGAAGCTAAAGGGTCAAGGGCCAAGAGTCATGGCCAGATAAAGCAGTACAATTCGGGTGCGCCAGTTGAGCAAATCGGAGTACATGAAGATGGTCCATTTCCCACCAATAAATTATGAAATAGTCATGTTTTGGTAGTCAAAGACCATTTCACTGATGGCCAGAAGTATACACAATTCCACCAAGAGGCTAAACCAGTAGCGGATGCATTCATTAACAAGTGAGTAACGAGATTCTGTGTTTCAATGGAGTTATGTTCTGATCAAGAATGGAATCTCGAGTCAGCTTTAAGTCAAATTATGTACCAAAAACCTGATACCCGGAAAACGGTTGGAATTAACTCCAATAAGAGTAGTGGACGCATGCACCAACCAGTGGGTAACGAGATTCGTTGTTCCAATGGAGTTACGTTCTAATCAAGAATGGAACCTTGAGTCAGCAAGGGGTGTACCAGAAACTAAGTATCCGAAAAACGGATGAAATTAACTCCAATAAGAGAAGAATGGCTAAGAAAGTTAACACCATCCTAGAAAACGAGATGAGAGACATAAATACTTTGTGTTTGGGGACGATTAGACTTAGGTTGAGGGCAGTGTAACTAACACGGGTGATAGAACAAAATCGAATCGACGATAAATTGCCAGAATCAACTACTTGTAGATAGCAAATTCGTAGTTACTAAAATGTTTTAGTGGCGAACTTTTTGTAAAGATCTACTTATAAGAGCTGCCGGATTGTGCAGCAAAAACAGTTTTAATTAGAGTGTTGCCGTGTAAAGAGCAATTAGGCTATAAGTAATAACTTGTAAACTCAAATAAAGAGTAATAAGTGTTAAGCTGTTGGAATTAGAAGCAAAGATAAGTGTATAGCCAAAAATTGGGACTTTTATTTAACAATCTAGTGATCGAATTGTCGACCTTAAAACAATTACTTATATGTTAGTCGGGTTACAGAGGAAATATAAAAAAAAAATACTTACATCTCTAATTTTTACATTTAACAGTAATATGTCATAATATATGAAAATAAAAAACATTTAATAAACTTAAAATCAATAATATGATATCGAATCTTTAATCATAAATTTGAAATTACAAGAGTTTAAATTTTGACTTTCCATATAGAGTGAAATGTGTAGAAATTTGTTAACATGCTTAAAGGATGTAATGCTCGATTAAATATAAACAGTAACTCAAAAACTTTGTTAAAAAATGAATATGAAGATATGTTTATCGCATACAAGTAGAGTAGTAGTGCGCTAGCACTTTGTTTAAAATTTTGAATTATTAACAAATCTTTAAATTAATGCATTTTTCTAGTTTCAGTAATATAACTAGCAAAGCAAAGCATTATTTCGAATTCATTTTATGATAGTACATATCTAATAATTTAATCAACAGGATATTCGTTTGCCCCTTTTTTTGAAATATCAATTACATTCCATTTGCCACAGCAAAATGTAAAATTTATTTACATTGTAGTGAATTTTTTCATCCTTATTCAACACGGAGAAAAAAGCTTCCGATTGGCGCACAGAATAAGTTGCTATGGATTATGTGCCCATTGGTACCCTTCAAGTTAGCTATCGGTGAAATAATACCAGAAATTATAATATTATTAATTAGTAAAAATTAATTTATTAATATTATGATTTACTTTACTTAAAGAGAATTTTGCAGAAATGCTACTAATAATATAGTAAGATATATATATTATCCTAATAGTTTTTATCATAAAATCTGCAAATATCGTCAATAGTGCCTTGCAAAATTTTAGTGCAGATATCAGCATACCCAGAAAACACAAAAAACATGACAATTTTGCATTTTGAACAACCTCTGTCACACGATCTCGTGCGACGTGGTTGCAAATGTGTTAATATAGCAAAAAAAACAAACCAACTGCCGTCCCGGCAGCAGTAAATTACTGTCAAAAATTCCTCATGCCCATAGATTTTGTATAGCGCAAACCTAAATAAACGCTGCGACAACGCTGAGTGTTGAAAAGTTCGATTTTGACAGCGCGTTAAGAAGTGCTGCAGAAAACCAAGAAATTGTAACTTTTCTGTAAAATTTCTTGATGTGATGTTTAATGCTTGTACAATTGGATGTAGGTGTTATTAATAAATTTCTTTTGTACTTATTTTAGAATTTAAGTGAGAATTTGACGCAAAATTGGTGTTTTATTTAGGGATGCTGCGTCGGCGTTAACGCTGAGCTGTAAAAAACGCACCACTCGACATTTTTATTTAGGGGCGACAGTAACACAGTAAATTGAAGTAAGTAAACGTAATATTATACATATGAAGTTGGTTAGCAGATTTGGATAAACTTCCGTATAACATATTTTCGTGTGAAGAAATCATATGAATGAAATTGTAGTGCCCATGTCCGTCAAAAAGGAGTTCAAAAGCATGATATTGAGAAAGTCAAAGGCGTTTTCGATCTCTAACGAGGCATTACCCTTTAACACTTCGGTCACTGCCACGATCCACACAATAGATAATAAACCAATCTACAGGGAACATTTTTCAAAGAACCATTGACGACATTTTGAGGGAAGGGAATAGGAAAGATATGCTACGTTTACGTGGATGACGTCATAATTTTTCCGAAAATGAGTTCGACCACGTGAAGCATATCGACACAATTTTAAAATGTTTATGCGAGGCCAATATGAGGGTACACAAGAGAAAATGAAGTTTTTTAAAAAGAGCATCGAATTATTGAGCTATGTAGTAACCAAAAACGGGGGAAAAACTGACCCCGCAAAAGTTAGAGCCATACAGGAATATGTTGAGCCTAAAAACTTATTCAGTTTACGATCATTCCTTGGCCTAGCTAGTTATTACAGGGGATTCATTAAGGACTTCGCGTCAATAGCGAGGCCTTTGACCAACATTCATAAAGGAGAAAATGGAACGGTGAGCAAATATGTGTCGCAACGAAGCGCCTTTGAAAGTTTGAGAAATATCCTGGCATCCGAGGAAGTTATTCTCATGTACCCAGAATTCAAACAGCCTTTTGACTTAACCACTGACGCCTCTATGGACAGCTTCGGTGCGGTTCTGTCTCAAGGAGGCAAACCAATTAACATAATTTCGCGAACGCTAAAACAAAGCGAAGCGCACTATGCCACAAACGAAAGGGAGTTGTTAGCCATTGTCTGGGCTTTGGGTAAATTGCAAAATTATCTATATGGGTCAAAAGAAATCAACATTTTTACAGACCACCAACCCCTCACCTTCGCTGTATCTGATAGGAACACAAATGCGAAAATCAAAAGATGGAAATCATACATTGATGAACACAATGCAAAAGTGCTCTACAAATCCGGCAAAGAAAATTTTGTGGCGGATTCTCTGTCCCGACAGAATGTGAAAAATTTGGAAAATGAAGTGCAGTCAGATGCTGCGAAAATTCACAGTGAAATACCATTATCCTACACGATGGATTCGACAGAAAAGTCTTTAAATTGCTTCAAGAACCAGTTCGTTCTCGAAGAAGCCAAATTACGGTTAAAAAGATATATCATACTCTTCGGCAGAAAAATACGCCACCTAATAAATTTTACAGAAAAACGCTCTATTCGAAATAATTAAACCACTCGTTCGTAACAACTCAGTAAACGCGATTAACTGACGTTAGTCAGTATACAACATGATTTGGTGTTAAATTTTCCGGCAACTAAGTTCTGGCACTGCAAGAATATCGTTGTCGACATTACAAACAAAGGTGAACAAACTGAAATTTTCATCACTGAACACAATCGCGCACATAGGGAAAATATTAAACAAATCCTTCGTGATTATTATTTTCCGAAAATGGCAAAATTAGCCAATGAGGTGGTGTTTAATTGCAAAACATGTACCAAAGCGAAACACGACACGGATAACCCCAATTCCATCATATGCTGGAGAAATGCTCCGCATTGACATTTTTTCAACGGTCCGAAGTTTGCCGTTGTACAACCGATCGCGTCTCACACAATTTATGGATGTACAAATGTCCATTATCCAACTTCTTGTTTCCTCAAACAAAACCAATTTATTGCGACAATGAAGCCACTTTCAATTCGGAGACAATTAGATCACTGTTAAAAAACGGGTATGACATAGACATTGTGAATTCACCACATCTTCACAGTTGTTCAAATGAACAAGTGGAACGCTTGCATGGCACTCTTGCGGACATAGCTAGATCTTTTAAACTAGAAAAAATGTCTGATGACACAGCCGAGTTAATTTTGAGGACAACAATAGCCTACAATCGATCCATACACTCGGTCACAAGCCGAACCCCGATCGATATGATTCACGCAGCATCTAGCGAACTCAGGCGGACCATAAAAAATAAAATCGCATCAGCCCAACATGATAACATTGAAAGATCTAACCCGGATAGGCAAAATAGAGTTTTTGAAGTTGGCGAAAAAGTGTTCGTAAAAAACAATAAAAGGAATGAGTTGGTTGACACACCGCATTTATATGAAACATTATTAACGAACAATAGAATGTTAATAAACCAGATTTCAAACTTGATTCTCACAATTACATTGGCTAAGGCTAACATAATAAATTCCACTATTTTTGATCATGAAGATTTGGAGAGAATCTTAAAGGAACAACAGGAGAATCCTAACTGAAGCATCCAAGATTAAAGTCCTACAGTCCGAGAATATAATTCATATAGCCTCAGAGTCACCATTTTCCCGTACTAGCGGTTAACGAATGCCTAACAACAACATTCGCATTCGTTTGCAAGTTAACAGCACAAGACACCTGTGCACGATGGCCCAGAGATCCCGTTTCTCCGCAATCATCAATGTAACGAAATATGTGAACCAGCGAGAGATACTAAATAGGAAGCCAGGCATAGCGGGCTGTACCTGATTACTAGGTCAGCTGCGGTAACCTGATATTTGATTATGCTGCAAATATCTACGTTATCGCTTATGCTGAGACATATTCCATTGACGCATGAGTTCAGTGGCCTGACTAACTAGGTCAGCTGCTGTAGCCTAATATTTGACTATGCTGCAAATGTCTACTTTATCGCTTATGCTGAGTCGGCTTGCCGGCTGTAGCTTTGCACTTATGAGTTCAATTTTTAGGTTTAGCTTTAAGTTGATTTTGTAATGTAAATTAGTTCTAATCAGACTCAATAAAGCACAGAAGTGCACTACACCATAACTTATATGCAAGTACTTTTGTCAACAATTGCGAAACTGTACGCGCATTAAACGCAACACCGCTTAAAAATGCTGCACAGACGCAACAGTTAATTTGGAGCATACTAAATAACATAACTTATATATAAAATAACTGAATTATTTAAGCATAAATATTGTTTTATTCGTACATGTATTAATACATACCTACATATTTTCAAATTAAATCTTGACCGAATTATTTAAACATAGATGCCTTTTTGTCCTATTTCAAAAAAAAATATTTACAAATTTGTTTAAAACTATTGAAATAAACGAAACATACACAACTGTTTTGGGTGTGAGGGTGGTGACTATTGTGAAGGCATCTGAACAGAGCTTTTAATTAACATCCAAAATGTTGTGACGAACACGGATGATAGAACAAAATCGAATCAACGATAAACTGTCAGAAGCAACTAGTTAGCGAATTCGTAGTTGCCACAATGTTCTAGAAGCAATGTTTTGTTACAGATTTACTATATTGGAATTAGAAATAAAGATAAGTGTGTAGCCATTAAATTGGGACTTTTATTTAACAATCCAGTGATCGAACTCAAGAGTGAGTTACAGGTAGACGATTTATCGAGCAATCCGTAACAATGTGTTATAAAAGTGAGAGGAATTGTTTAAAAAACATCTAGTGGGCAAAATTACGATTCTTTTGGCGCCACGATCCGATGACACCGACCCATTTTTTATAACAAAATATGTGGCTACACTGATATTTGTCATGAATGTACACACAAAAATTTCTTGAAACTATGAGTGAACAAAGCAATTTAAAATGTATATTTGTTTTCTTAAAAAATGCACAATAAATCTATATTTTGAATATATTTCAATGTATACAATGTAATTAAAAATATATGAGTTGTAAAATTTGTGGAAAATGTTTTAAATATAGTGTAATGCATGCATTACTTTAACAAATTCGCAAATATTTCGCCAACTATAACCCTCACATCGCGGCGATAAAAGAATCACAATCATTCCATCTAGTGATTATTTTTTATATTATTGTTTTTTGAAGCGCGTCCGAAGGCCGCTAGTGCAGAGAAGAGTTCATCGCGAAAGAACTATGAATACCATGGTTTTGGACTGACCAGGGTTATTTTTTTGAAGCGCGACCGAAGTCCGCTAACGCTGAAAGGAGTTCCACGCTAAATAATATTTTACGTATTTTTTTTTATTAAATAATATCTATATATATAAAAATTACATGTCACGTTTTCTCCGGGGTTAACCGCTAAACTACTGAAGTTGAGTAAAATTTAGCACACTATGTCCATTTTGGTCCAAATTAAAAATATAGTATAGATTATATTTCATTTATGTTCTTGATAATCAAAAATAGTTTGAAGATGCCGTTGTCATGGAAACGGTTTAAAATGTTTGAAAATTTTGCACGAAATTAATAATATAATGGATTGATATATTTATATTTTGATATCAATCCTGAATATAACGAAATATTCGTATTCCCCACAAGTGCATGTCAATTATTTTTAAAACTCTGTGATCAGCTGTTTTAACTTGCCACTCGACTTGAATGAGAAAATTGATGTACAAGTTTGAAAATTGAGAGTAGGGTAGTAGAAAAGTGTGAGTGTATTGCAATTGAAAGCAATTTCTTGATCGTGTAACGTCTAGGAAAACCCAAACATTCCAAAACACGTTTATGTGCGCCATCTTTTGGTAACATAGCCTCCTCTTGCGGAGATTGTTTGAGTCTAATAAATTTGGTGTTTAATCAATAATTATTACTCCGAACTAAATTTTTCTTGAATTTTAAAATCACAATGGCGTACAATTTTAAGGAAATAAGTTGGACAGGTGTGGGAAATTTTTTGAAAAAATTAATTATGAAATTTTATTTTTCCAATCCAATACCATACATTAATCTAAAATTTTTATAGATGTTCGTGACCAATTTCGGAAGTGGCGTGAGGACAATGAGCGTCGGAGTGATGAAGTAATACAACTATGGGAAGCGCTTTTGGAAAGTCGTGTGCAAAAAACTGGCAACGAGATGCATCTCATATTGGAGCAAGTGCTAATTGCAGCTTTTGACACTTCTCGGTTGGATATTGCGGGGAAATGCATTGAAACACTTAGCATAGAATTTCCGGAAAGCATGAGAGTTATGAAATTTGAAGCTATGCGTTTAGAAGCTTTGCAAATGTATGATGAGGCGACTGATTTGCTAGATGAAATTATTGTCAAAGATGAAACAAACGCTGCACCCCGTAAGCGCAAAATAGCTATTTTAAAAGCAAGGGGAATGAGATCCGAAGCTATTAAAGATTTAAATGAATATTTAAAAACGTAAGTGTACGCTATCAGGGTAATTAATATAAATTTATTTATTTATATTAGACAATTTGGGAAAACTTTAGTATGCCGTCCTAGGCTTTCGGGGTATGGGCGGATAGAGGAGATCCTCCAGATCAAGAATAAATATAGATATAACCGCGGATAACTTATAGTTTTCGAGATGGGAAAACTTTAGTATACCGTTTAAAGTTGAAAATTTCAACTATTTAAGGTATGCATTTTTCCGATTTCAAATGAATTATACACTTATATTTTTCACTGTTATATCCACTAACACTTTACTGATTCGTTTATACACATTGATTTTGCATTATATAGTGCAAAAATAGTTAATTCAATATTTAAGTTATTGTTAAATTCTATTAATTCTGACAATAACAAAAGGGTTGCAAAATGTCAAATAACCAGTGTTACCTTCTAGACATATTTTGTAAATGAACTGAAAGAAATGAAAACAGATAATACCCCAAAAACAGGAATCCAAACCTAGAAAAATAAACTATTAGAGAACTTTGATGTTAAGGATTATGTTATACCCTCTATGACAATGTTGTTTTTTCTTGTAGAACTTTTTTTGCGTTGGTCGCACTGGTCGGTCTAACACCAAGGTGTACCAAAGTTTTTTTCGCGCAGAACCTCTTTTTGCGTTGGAGGCCTTCGGCCGCGCTTCAAAAAAATAACTGGTCGGTCCAACACCGGGGTGTACCAAGGTCTTTTCGGCTAGAACTTTTCGCGTTTGAATGATTTAAATATTGAAATAAAGCTATTTTTGCATCATATAATATAAAATAAATATCTAAAAATTAATTAGTGAAGTGTAAGTGGATATATTGCGTAAGTGAAAAAATATAAGGGTATAATTCATTCTAAATCGAAAAAATACTTACTTTTAATAGTTGAAATTTTAAACTTTAAACGTAAATATCTCAAAAACTATAAGTTTCTTGCGGCTATATCTATATATATTCTTGATCTGGAGGATCTGCTCTATCCGCCCATACCCGTTTTATCCCCGAAAGTCTGGGACGGTATACTAAAGCCAACCCGACAATTTTACGGATTTGTGATTTGCAACATCTTGAACTATGTGAACATAAATATAACAAGTAAGGAAGGCCTAAGTTCGGGTATAAACGAATATTTTATACTCTTGAAACTTTCAAGAATCAAAGCCCGGGAAATTCCTTCAGGTACTGGCATAAGTTTATAATAAAAATTGTTGCGAAATAATTAAGCATCTATTATTCGACGAAATCGTGAATAAATTATAATCGATTTTGGTATCTTCTTGACTTATATTCAAGGCCATAAACTTAGACATAGTTTTATTGCTATACTTTAATTTGCATCAGCTAAAATTATATAAAAAACACCTTCAAATGAGACATATGTATGTGATATTAACTCGATCGAAGAGGCTAAATTTAATATATTGAGTTGACGAAAACGTCCACTAGAGGATTCATTCATTATATTAGGGATATGAGGTTTAGACCAATTCAATACAAATTCATCGCTAAACCACATAATTTTTAAGAAAACGTGTCCATTTAATTTCACTATTCACATTTTGACCAGCCTAAACGTTTAAAAGACAGGTGGAAAGACAGAAATCATTTTACAATGTATATTGGCGATAGCGAAAGTTTGCAGGAAGATTGCATTAATTTTGACATTGCTCAGGTATTCGCAAGAACATTTTGAAGCAATTTTATATATACATAAATAATATTCACTGACGATATATTCGCCATAAAACTTGTTAAATAAATCATTATAAGTAGTATATGTTAGTTGGGCAGTATTGACCCGATTTTATCAATTTTGCCAATACACATACTACTAACATGCCACAGACTAATAAAATTTTCCAGGGTTTCATTAAGGTACCTCACATACCATCACCAATCATATGGAGTAAAGTCAGCCGAAAATCCTAGTATTAGTTATTAGGCTAAGTTTCGCCCAATTTTATACATTTAGACACAAAATACATTATCATAAAAACAGGTTCTCTAATTTTCATTGAATAACTCACATATTGTCCGATATATGCGGTATAAAGTCACCCGAAAGTATAGAGGGGCTAAGGGAAGTATTGACCCGATTCAACCCATTTGATACATACAGACATACTCTGTATCTCTCTGAATTTTAATTATATATCTCACACATTGACGATATTTTCAGTAAACGACAAGTATGTGTTCTGGGGTCCACATATTCGGTACCAGTTTTGGTTCCATTTGGACAGTTTTTTGGTCATAAAGTGGTATGCTATAAAGACATTATTCGTGCAAAGCTTTATACCACTACTTTGCTTGATTTGGATACTAGAAAGTGAGAGAATGAGATGGAATTTAAAATTGTGTTATATGGAGAAAGCGTGTCTGTAGTCCGTTTTCGCACTGTAACATAGCAATGTCAGAAAATGTTACATACGAATTTGGTTGAAATCGGTCGAGCAGGTCCCGAGATGGGCTTTCCAAGGTGGCGGTTCCACGCCCTGGTAAATTTTGATGACTGCACGATATTGACGTCGGGCAATGAATCGATGGCATGTGCTCGAAAATAAACGGCTATCTCTCCACTTTCTCGCTTCTTCCCGCAAGGAGCCTGACACTTCCCACTAAATCACAGCGACCATATTTACAAACTGGACGAAGGAGTACAGACTGGATTCAGACATTTCAGTCGATGACATTAAAATTACGACAGTCAATAACACTAAAGTTTTAGGCGTTATACGTGACAGCCTGTGCTCCTTCACTCCTCACACGACGCGGATAACTGACAAAGTACAGAGTCCCAACAAAATCCTTAAATCGCTTGCGGGCAGCTCGGTATAAACGAATATTTTATATCTTGAAACTTTCAAAATCAAAGCCCGGGAAATTCTTCAGGTACTGGCATAAGTTTAAATAAAAATTGTTGCGAAATAATTAAGCATCTATTATTCGATGAAATCGTGAATAAATTATAATCGATTTTGGTATCTTCTTGACTTATATTCAAGGCCATAAACTTAGACATAGTTTTATTGCTATATTTTAATTTGCATCAGCTAAAATTATATAAAAAACACCTTCAAATGAGACATATGTATGTGATATTAACTCGATCGAAGAGGCTAAATTTAATATATTGAGTTGACGAAAACGTCCACTAGAGGATTCATTCATTATATTAGGGATATGAGGTTTAGACCAATTCAATACAAATTCATCGCTAAACACATAATTTTTAAGAAACGTGTCCATTTAATTTCACTATTCACATTTTGACCAGCCTAAACGTTTAAAAGACAGGTGGAAAGACAGAAATCATTTTACCATGTATATTGGCGATAGCGAAAGTTTGCAGGAAGATTGCATTAATTTTGACATTGCTCAGGTATTCGAAGAACATTTTAAGCAATTTTATATATACAAAATAATATTCACTGACCGATATATTCGCCATAAAACTTGTTAAATAAATCATTATAAGTAGTATATGTAGTTGGGGCAGTATTGACCGATTTTATCAATTTTGCCAATACCACATACTACTAACATGCCACAGACTAATAAAATTTTCCAGGGTTTCATTAAGGTACCTCACATACCATCACCAATCATATGGAGTAAAGTCAGCGAAAGTCCTATATTAGTTATTAGGCTAAGTTTCGCCCAATTTATACATTTAGACAAAAAATACATTATCATAAAACAGGTTCTCTAATTTTCATTGAATAACTCACATATTGTCGATATATGCGGTATAAAGTCACCGAAAGTATAGAGGGCTAAGGAAGTATTGACCGATTCAACCATTTGATACATACAGCATACTCTTATCTCTCTGAATTTTAATTATATATCTCACACATTGACCGATATTTTCAGTAAAACGACAAGTATGTGTTCTGGGTCCACATATTCGGTACAGTTTTGGTTCCATTTGGACAGTTTTTGGTCATAAAGTGGTATGCTATAAAGACATTATTCGTGCAAAGCTTTATACCACTACTTTGCTTGATTTGGATACTAGAAAGTGAGAGAATGAGATGGAATTTAAAATTGTGTTATATGGAGAAAGCGTGTCTGTAGTCCGTTTTCGCACTGTAACATAGCAATGTCAGAAAAATGTTACATATCGAATTTGGTTGAAATCGGTCGAGCAGGTCCCGAGATGTGGCTTTCCCTAAGGTGGGCGGTTCCACGCCCCTGGTAAAATTTTGATGACTGCACGATATTGACGTCGGGCAATGGAATCGATGGCATGTGCTCGAAAATAAACGGCTATCTCTCCGACCTTTCTCGCTTCTTCTCCGCAAGGAGCCTGACACTTCCCCACTAAATCCACAGCGACCATATTTACAAACTGGACGAAGGAGTACAGACTGGATTCAGACATTTCAGTCGATGACATTAAAATTACGACAGTCAATAACACTAAAGTTTTAGGCGTTATACGTGACAGCCTGTGCTTCTTCACTCCTCACACGACCGCGATAACTGACAAAGTACAGAGTCCCAACAAAATCCTTAAATCGCTTGCGGGCAGCTCGGGTATAAACGAATATTTTATACTCTTGAAACTTTCAAGAATCAAAGCCCGGGAAATTCCTCAGGTACTGGCATAAGTTTATAATAAAAATTGTTGCGAAATAATTAAGCATCTATTATTCGATGAAATCGTGAAAAAATTATAATCGATTTTGGTATCTTCTTGACTTATATTTAAGGCCATAAACTTAGACATAGTTTTATTGCTATACTTTAATTTGCATCAGCTAAAATTATATAAAAAACACCTTCAAATGACACATATGTATGTGATATTAACTCGATCGAAGAGGCTAAATTTAATATATTGAGTTGACGAAAACGTCCACTAGAGGATTCATTCATTATATTAGGGATATGAGGTTTAGACCAAGTTCATCAATACAAATTCATCGCTAAACCACATAATTTTTAAGAAAACGTGTCCATTTAATTTCACTA